TATTATATTTTAATTTAATAATAAATAAAGTATTACTTTACTAAAAAATCTAAAATAAAATTATATTTTTAAAAAAATATTTTAAATATTATTATTATTAATTTGTAATATTAAAACTTTAAATTATGTAAGTAAATTACTTTAAATTTGATAAATATATATTTTAAATTTTATAAAAATTAAATTAGTAATTATAAAGATATTAAGATTCAAAGTTAAGTAAATAAATTATTTACTATATAATTTTATATTAATTTAATTAATTTTATATAGTAAAATAGTTAATATTAGTAAAAAATTTTTTATCAAAAATATATAATAAAAATTTTTATATTTAAATAAATCATAATATCTAATAACTTAATTAAATAAAACAGAATTAAAATTTTATTTTAAAAAATAGTTTATTAATATTTATTTGAGATACAAATCTTTTTATACTGATTTATATCTTAAAATATATTTTTACAGAAATATTTCAAAATTACTTATTGAAAATATTTTTAAATATTTTTTTTAAAGTTTATTTATATAAATATTTAATTTATTAAATTAATTATAAAATTTTATTAAGCTAATATTGCTTATACTATTAGAGAATCTTATTTATAATATTCTAAAAAATATATTTATAAATTTTTATGAATTTTAAATATTTTATTATAAAAAAATAAATGAAAATATTATATATTGTTACTTTTATCAGAAATTATAATTAATAAAATTATTAATTAAATTTACTTTAATTATAATTTTCTTGTTATATATTAAAGTTTAATAAAAAATTAGTATCTTTAAATAATACTTTAAAATTATATAAAATATTAATATTATATAATCAATTATTAATAATATAAATATTATTTTTAAAAAATATTTATTAATTAATTAATAATTAAATAGTTAAAAAAATAAAGATTATAAATAAATAATATAAATAAATTATTAATATTATATAAATTGCTTATTAATAATATAAATAATACTTTTGAAAAATACTTATTAACTAATTAATCATTAAATAAATAAAGAAATAAAGATTATAAATAAATAATATAAAAATAATAATAAATTAAATTAAAATAAAATTAAATAGATTTTCTAAGTAAAATTTAATTATAATTATATAACTTTTAATAAAAATAAAGTAATAGTATCTTGATATAATATAATATAGTAATATAACAATTACAATTTAATAATCTATAAAAATAAGATTTATTATATATTTTCTCTCTTAAATTTAATATTTTTATTAATATATAGATGATTTAAAAGATTTTATAAAATTTATATTATTATAAAGATTTTTAAGAATTTTCAAGTAGCATTATAAAGATATAGTATGTGACAAAAAAACTTAACTATTTGCCAATCACATTAAACAATAAATAAATATTTCTAATTTTAGTTTAATCTATATTATTTTTACTGAATTTAAAGTTAAATAATGGATTTATTTACTATATTTGTTAAATAAACTTATACAAAATTTATTATCAAAATATTATCAACTACTTATAAATAAAAGATGCATAGCTTATTATATTATTGAAATAAAGATATTCATTCTATACCTGAACTATTAATAATCCTATAGAAAATTTATGGATTATTATTAAGAGTAATATTAAGAAATAAATGCCTAAAAATTTGGATATTTTAGAGAAGTTTTTGATAGAAACATGGAATTCTATTTCAAAAATCATTCATTCTAAATAACTTAATAAATTTGATAAGACATCATTGTGAGTTAGATAATGAAAGAAAAGGTGAACAAATCAATTTTTAAGCCTAATATACTAAGAATATTATTGTAACATATTTTTCTTTCTTTCTATAATTTATCTCAATTATATTTATATCATTTCAATCCCATCAAAGAATTTTGGGCTATACTTAAGGGAAAGGTGGAAAAGGAAGTAAATTTATGGTTAATCAAAAAAAACTTTCAATAAGCAAGGAGTATGAAGGATCATGTTTCGGCGGTGAGGGAAAAAAAATTGACTATTAATTTTTTGTAAATAGTTAGTAGTCGTATTTGAGAATGTGCGTACAAATTTTTGCACATGTTAATAATAAAAATAAAATGTCTTACCTGTCATAATAAATTCCGGATATTTATGTCAACCACTGTATAATTAAAGCAGTTCTTGCATTTAAATTTTCTATCATTTTTTAAAATTAGCTAAAATGATATAAAATTTCCGAATACGTATATATAGCATCATCGGTTGCCAACACGAACTGATCATTATCATCGATAGTAATTAACAAAGTATCCCATCTTCAAAAAATGCGACTTTTGAACAATTTAGCGATTAGTTTCGAATGAAACCACATTATTAGTTTATCCTATCGAGACAAATCGAATGATAATTTCTTAATTTGCATAGCTCTCGATGGAAACTTAAATTTATTTAATTGTCTTAAGATTCGCTTTCACATAAAACAAAATTCAAATTCAAATGAATAAGACTACATTTTTGGGTTACATGAGGAAGTGGAAAAAGATAAAAGAACTTATGCTTATGAGAAGAAGAAAGTAATACAAAATTCAAATTCAACTACATTTTTGGGTTACATGAGGAAGTGGAAAAAGATAAAAGAACTTATGAGAAGAAGAAAGTAATACATAAACTTTTTAGCAAAAACTACCGAATGACCTTTGGTGACGTCATCGCCTATAAAAGTTAAAATAATATTTAGTCTTTTAAGTACGCGCATTATATTCCTATTAACGAAAAAATTACCTAAAAAATGCTCCAACGCTTTTAAGGTTTCGGCTTGTTTTTCATCGTTTTGCAGCGAACTGCTTAATCTTTTGTATAAGTCCAAAACTGGCTGGCTGGCAGCTTCGATGCTATGATGATTGGGACCGAACGGATGTTCTTGCCCTTCATTTATGTTGCTTATTAACGTATTCGGCTCCATATGTCTTACTATATGAGAATTATTATAAGTCATGCGGTTCATAAAAAAAGAGAAATCAATCTTTTTTTTATTTTTATTTTTCAAATTTTTTTAAAAATCGGATTTTTAAAGTAAATAAAAACAACACACATACCGTCGAAAACCTCTCTTTGTTCTGCTTTTATAGTTTCTAGTAGTTTATAACGCATATATGAGATCCTAATAGTTGAGATGATTAAAAGATTACTGCACTCCTGAATTGAATCCTTTGAAGAGGCGTAGTTTAATTAAACACAAATTACATGTAATTAATCTTCGCACACATGGTTGATTATAATTAATTTTATGCATGCCAAGACAATTATTATCATTGTAATATTGTGATTTTGTTTGATGAAGCTAATTAATTGGTCTTCTCGGAAATTAGAGCTCCTCATACTGTGTATCCAGAAATTCTTTTTTAATACTATTAATAATGAGATGCTGACAGAACTCGTGGCAAATTATACTAGCTTCACATATTTTCTCTATGAGTAAAACGATACGTGGGGTAGATCGAAAAATGAGTACCTTTGCAGTGTGCGTAGTTTAATTAAACACAAATTACATGTAATTAATCTTCGCACACATGGTTGATTATATGCATGTCAGCCAAAACAATTTATCATCATTGTAATATTGTGATTTTGTTTGTGTTGATGAAGTTAATAATTGGTCTTCTCGGAAATTAGCGCACCTCATACTGTGTATCCAGAAATTTTCTTTTAATCCTATTAATGATGTGATGCTGGCAGAACTTGTGACAAATTATACTAGCTTTCGCATATTTTCTCTACGAGTAAAACGATATGTGGAGTAGATCAAAAATGAGTCATTTTGCAGTGTGCGTATAATGCAATATTGCGTATATCAAAAAAATGAGTGACTTTGCAGAGTGTGCGTGTTTTTTGTGAATTTGGTATTACATTAAATGGATCAAAAACACAAGTGTCCATACTTTGGAATTTTGTTAATTGAAAATAGAGTCATTATTGAAGAATTAGTTGAAAGATTGGACATAAATATTATCAATCTCAGGACAAGTAAGGTTGCTTTTATAGACTTTGGCCGACTGTATAATTTGGGTGATTAGGTAATATTCAAAAAGAGAATTCATTAGTTAATATTCCTTAACAAAACAGAATCCATGTTTGTTGTGTTAATTAGGTGCGTCAAAAATGTGTCAACAATTGCCAAAACAAGTAAAATGGTCGGAATTGTTAAATACCAAAAATAGTAATTGATATTCAAAAAATTTTCCATGTAATTGTTATACATATACATGTTTTGAGTTCTTACTTTAATGGTAAAGAACCTGCGGGAACTTGAAACGATTTACATGTATTTTTAAATACATGTAACATTAAAATAGCACTGTATTAAAACAAATTGATATTAAACAAGTTTATCAAAATTAATAATCGTTATTTCAAATACACGTAAACACCACAGGTCGAATAGTGTAGGTTTCACCTGGCTAGTAAAATATGGATGATATCAAGGTATAATACTGGTAATCTAACGGCATTTCTGACTATATGTTTGCCCACACTTTAGACAGGCCGAATCATGTTTTAATATTTGATTTCGAAAAGATAAACTCAGATCATGTCAAAATCACGGTGAATGATTGCACTGCAATTTGAATCGATGTGTGCTAGCCTTTGTAGCCTTTACGCCAGGATTGGCATTTGGCTGCGGCCAAGAATTTTTTGGCCGATTGGCCATCGGGCAAGATCAACAGCCAGCCAAATCTATTAAAATGCGTTAAAAATCCATTTTGTGTGCGTAGATCACTATTAGCTGGGGGAGGGGGAAGGTTTAACTATAATATAGTAATTTCATATTGCAACGTCTGAACCTAATTTTGAAAAAATGAATTATATTGAAAAGCAATATGCTTACATTTTAAAGATATTTTACTTTGTCTATAAACTCGGATGTAATCAACACAATTTCGCATTCTCCATGTTGAAAGCCAAAAAATCCCGACACTCAACATCCAAAGTACAAAATATCGAATCTCCAAGATCGCGACATTCTCAAAATGTTGATCCGTCCAACAGATTGCTTTATAAATTGATATAAAATAGACCTTTTGTTAAACCTTTCAGCTTTAAGTCATTTGTGATATTTATTACACGCATAGCAGTTATTTTTTGGCAATCGTATCATTTACTTCAATTAAAAATATTTTGAGCTGGACATTTATCATAATACCCAATATCATATTGAGAGGTTTCTGTTGCTACCATATCTCTAGAAGGAGCTGCTTTATATTGGTATCTCAACAAATACAAAATTGCAGATAATGTTATACCATATGATATATGAAAAATATTTATAGAAGAACTAAAAGAGATCTTTCAATTATCATGCTATTTATAATATCTTTGCAGCCAGTTACATCTTCTTCGACAAACTGGATTTATGCAAGAATATAATATAAATTTAGAAATAGAATTGATCAAATAGAAGATATAGAAGATTTAAATCAAGTAGCCTACTTTATTAATGTACTTAAACTTATTATAAAGATAAAGATTATCAGAAATATTAGAAAATACTTGAAAATTAGTTATTTTCTTTAATATAATTATATATAAACAAGATTAATCTGTAAGTATATAGAATAGATATAACTCTAATTGAGTTTATTAATAACAAGAAAAAAGAAGCCAATTATTACTAATAGAATTAAATCAAGTAAAAGATTCATATAAGAAAACTTTTTAGAAGAATAATAAAATTAAAGATACTTGTTATAATTATAAAAAATTTGAATATTTTGCAAAGAATTATTATTTAAAGACTAAAATCAGATATTAAATATTAAAGAATTATAAGAAGGAATAATATATTAATAAAAGAAAATGAAATTTATATTTTAAAAGATAATTATAAAAGATTTTAAAATTTAATAATCAAGTAAATAGAAAATCTATCTGAGTATTACTTAATAGTAATGCATTAAGAAATTTTATTAATAAAAATTTTGGATAAAAAAAATAAAATAAAAACTTAAAAAATTAATTCTTATTAGAAAATTTTAAATGTAGTTGATAAATAATTCTTAATTAATAATTAATTATAATTAATTATAATTAATTATATTAATTTTAATCAATTTTATTAAAAATTAATTAAGATTAATTATTTAATTATAATTAATTAAAATTAATAATATTTAATTATAATTAAATATAAATAAATTTAAATAATAATTAATTTTTAATAAGAATTAATTAAAATCAATTCTATTAAATATAAAAAAATTTAATTATTATTAATTTTAATTTGTAATTAATAATAATTAATTATTAATTATAAATAATTATTATTTAAATTTATTAATTAAAAATTAATAACAATTATATTTTTTATAATTAATTATATAATGATAATCAAAAGTAATATTAGAAATTTAAATTTATTAATAAAATATAATAAAAATTAAAATTATTTCTCTATATTAAAATTTATAATTTTATTAAGAAATAAATTTTATTTTTATATCAAAATAAAGTTTATTAGTTATATTTTAACATATATTTTTTCCAGATTTTTTAGATTTTTTCTGAAAGAGTTATTTTAATTATAAAGTTAGTGCAAAAATTTTTATTAATTTAATTTTATTTTTAATTAATAAAAATTCTTGCATTAACTTTATAATTAGATTAACTCTTTTAAAAATATATATATATATATATATTAAATTATAATTAATTAACTTTATTTTAATATGAAAATAAAAATTATAAAATTATAATTTTAATATAATTAGGAAATTTCAATTTTTATTATATTATATTAATAAATTTAATACTAGATACATTACTTTTGAATATAATTGTAATTAATAAATTAATTGACAAGAATTTAATATAAAGTAAATTTTACAAAGTGCTAAATAAATTAATAATTAAACTTATTAATATCAATATATATGATAATATTAGAAAAGATTAATAGCAATTAGTAATTAATTACTAATTATACTAGTTAGTTATTAATTCTTCCTATACTTATCAATTATTATTAATTATTAAATTGATAGATAATAATTTGTTTTTTTTTCAATTCTCAATTATTTAATTAATTATAATCGATTATTTAATTAATATTAATAATTATTATTGATTATTATGAATATACTTAAGAATTAAAAAAATTATATTAATTATTAATTAATTTAAATAAAATATTTCATATTTTAGATTTGATTATAAAATAATTCTTTTATTAATATAATTTTATAATATGTATAATGTTTTAATAATTTTATTTAATCACTCAAGATGCTATATGATTGCTAAATAAAAGTTATTGAAAATGTTTTATAAATTTTCTATATATAAAAATACTTACACGATGAAAATTTGCAATAATTTCATAAAAATTGATTTCAAAAATTCTCAAAGTTGATATTTAACTATTTCATATTTGATAAATAGGGAAATCAAGGTAAATAAATTAATACTGTATTTCTTTTTTTACATTATATACTAAATAATTTATTTGATTTTTCGCAAAGATATTCCAACCGATGATTTATTCAAAAGAATCGCGGACGTCGTTTGTTTAATAAAAACTCGAGTTATTGAAGATTTGTTAGTTTTGTTTTTTTTTGGCACTAAAAAATACATGTGGTTAACCAAAATTTTCACGTGAATTATTGTTCACCGATTGGTTAGCAATCTATAAAATAGGGGTCGGAAATGCAATATTTTCGCTTTTAGGCAAAAACAAGGGTGAAACCTACCTCGTTCGACCTGTGCACCGATCTTCTTCAAATATAAAATATGTAATGTATTGCTATCTTTTGCATAAGTCATCACGTACTTATTCTAAACTACATTGTGGAGCAATCCGAATATATTTTTGATTGTGTTGTTGGAAAACAAAACAATTTGATTTCACTTTAGAAATTTTTACTTATTTCACACTACTTTGTGTTCTCTAAATCGTTTCTCAGTGATCTCCAGTTGTAAATTGTGCTAAAAATTCCCTTTTGAAAGATCTTTGAAGTTGGTAAATCTTTTAAAAGGAATCCATTCAAAATGTTCTCTAAGCGTATTCTTTATCAGAATTTCAATATTTTATTCTCGCAAACCATTCATTGTTATAAAGTTTACAGTGATAAAGAAATAATTTATGCAAAAATATATTAGTAATTAGTAACGAGTTCATGCATGAGTGTTTTTGCGCTGTTTTAATTGAAATGTAATGTTACACCCAATTCAAAAAATTAGGTTAGCTAAAGAATTGTGATTGTAACAAAATTCGGGGGACTGAATGAATTAAGCAGGGTGGGGTATCATTAAGATTTCATATGCCAATCTTACACGGAGATTATGCAATCAAAGATAAAGGGAAAGGCAAAGTATTTAATTTAAATAATAAAAATAATAAGTAATTACTATAATTTAATTCAAATAACAATAAATATTACAAGAGTTTATTAACAAAACTCAAATATTCTTTAGTCAAAACCATAATAACACAAGTCTTCAACAAAATAAACAAATTCAAAGGATCAAAAAACACGCATTAACTTTATATGGCAAAAGAGGTAAAGTCTTCGATTTTATTAAGCACAAAAGAAATAAAGCTATAAATTTATTATGGCCCAAAAGAAATAAAGCTATAAATTTATTATGGCCCAAAAGAAATAAAGCTATAAATTTATTATGGCCCAAAAGAAATAAAAACCGAAATGCTATTAGGTAAGAGTTAAAAATTTTATTTAGTTATTTTTCTTCAAACCACACATTGCCGACCTTCGAGAGCTATCTTTTATGTACAATTTGGTTATAATATAACTACCTAGATATTAAAGATCGTAATCAAGTACGGAATTCGCGGGTTATTACACGTAAAGCACAAAGTATGAATTTTTGCAAGAATTTTTACAAAAGGAGTATAGCTATGCTTCAAATAAAGAAATTAATAAAATCTAAAATAAAATCATTATTTGCTATACAAAATGTGAATTTTGTAAGAAAAATGTAATCGTTTCTATGGATTAAAGAAATAACGTATGGTACGTACCTTTGTATGAAATTTCTAATGATAATAGATCGCAAAGTAAGCATTTTTGTAAGAAATTCTTATTATTGGACAAGCATTGTTAATGCTGCTACTACAAGATAAGAATTTTTGTCATGTGGTACGGGACAAGAAGTTCGTGACATTATTAGAATTTTCGTAATCACCTAATGATCTTCATATGATTTGGTCATATGTCGATGTACAAAGTGAACCTATTACATGTAGTTCAGAATACTCATGTTGTAGTAAATGTATTTGATGCCAAAGAAATGAATACTGCGTTGTCTGTTTTTTATATCACAAACGAATTTCTGAATTGTCCATTGGAAATAAAGATATCGACAATCTAATACATATGGATAATTCGAATGGATTCCTTTGAAAGAATTGCCAACGTTGCATATCTTGCAAAGGAGATTTTGTAAAGCAGCCCGGTTGGATGATGATCCACCATATGGAGAATATGATAAATTGTATTGAAATTATTACAATATTCAAAGGAATTATTCCGGCGTTTATAAACGAGATAAAAAATGAACATTTCTAAAGTAAAGTTTTACTTTTTGTTTTTTATCACAATAAATTTTCAAAAATAGTTTCAGACCGTAAGAAATTACTAATTATTATGGGATACCGTATATGACCGAAAATAAGAACCCCAAAAATCGGGCCTTCAAACAGTGAAATCAGGAGGGTTTCTTATTTTCGGAACTTTGCAATTCGGTATTCACAATTTTTAATTAGAAGCATGAAACGCGACTCAAATCTATCAATAATATGACACGTGTAAAGGGCAGTCATATTCTGTTGAGGAAAATTCTGCTGTTGTTCGTTTTGTCGTTTTGCTCTAGCCTCCAATAATACCAGAGCTGCTGCTCATTTCGGCATTGCAAAAAGTATGGTTAGCAAATGGGTAAAAGCTCTAAAAAATCAGCTTGACGACCTCAAAAACCGCAAGTCTCGTTGGGTTGGCGCTGATAGGAAGGAGTTTTTTCCCGAAGAAGAAAACCAACTTTTTGCTTGGTTTCTTCAAATGCGTGAGGCTGCCTTAGCTGTTACATATTATGGTCTCAAAATTGAAATGTTGAAACTTGTCACTGAAACTGCTGCTATCACAAATGATCCTGGAAAAAAAACCATCGCGAACAATTTCAAAGCTTCTTCGAAATGGCTCAAATGTTTTTTACACCGTTATGACCTTACTCAACAATATGTAATCTGGTTATGCCAATGTAAAGATTTTCTGCTCAGTCATATTGCAAATATGGACGAACCCCAATATGATTTGTTATAGTGGGTGAACTTACTGTTAAGAAAGTTGGCAAAAAAAAACAGTTCATGTTCGCACTACAGGTAATGACAAAAATCGTTTTACAGTTGCTTTTACCTGTTTTGCCAATGGTCAGAAACTTTAGCCAACTATTATCTTTAAAGGAAAGCAATGGCCTAAAACTAAAAAATACACCATCACCACCTTCTAACGTCAACATTTCCTTTCATGAAAAAGATTGGATGGATGAAGAAGGGATGATAGCTTGGACTCAAGATTTTGCAAAAAAACGACCAGGTGGCCATGATAAAGAGCCCACTTGTTTATGATTCATTCAAAGTGTACCTTACAGACAATCTTAAATATGAAATGAAAAAAAAACAATATTGACCTTGTTGTTATTTCTGGTGGCCTTACATTCCTATGTCAACCACTGGATGTTTTGATTAATCATCCTTTCTAAGCTGCTCTTCATCGTCAATGGCATGCACGGGTGGCAGATGGGGGTGCCAGAAAAACTGCAAATGGAAATTTAAAGCGCGCAAGCTTGTATACCATGTGTAACTGGGTGTTTACGGCCTGGGAGGAAATTATCCGAGAGATCATTCAGCATGCATTTTGAAAGTGTTGCGTTTCTAATGCTTTGGATGGATCGGAGGATGAGGAGATTTTTGATGAGTTGGAAGATATAGAAAGTGATGCTTGTGTTGATGAGAATGACACAGATATGATAGATGAAGAGATAGAAAATAATCAAAAGAATAGTAATGAGAAAATTTATGAAATTGATATAATAGAAGAGAATGAAGATGTTATTTTTTTTGACGTGGATATGTAATACAAAATCTAATAAACCATTTCTTTCCAAAACCTAAAGGTTCTTATTTTTGGAGGGTGCTTATTTTCGGTCATATACGGTAATTAAAAACGAATACTCTATCAACATAGAATGACTTATGCAAGAAATAGCAACCTTCGCAAATATGTTACAAAAAATCAACTTGGAATAAAAAATTAAGCTATTTATCTGATATTATCATTAATCTGGAAAGCATTCACACAAAGAAATTGCATCTGACTTTCATCCTGTAAATATATTATTGAATTATAGCATTCAAACAAATATAGAAAAATTCTAACTAAGAAATTTATGGAGTACTTATATGAGTCCAAAGGTTGCTAAATGGAAAGCTGTACAGTATCGTTGCAGATATTTATAGTTTGGGAATTGTATGAGATTGTAATAGGTGAACGACCATTCTGTGAACGAAGTCATGATATAGATCTTGTATACGACCTTATAAAAGAAGTAAGACCTACGATATTTCCGGATGGTGCAAATTTATTATTGAAAAATGTTGAGATCCTATTCCAGAAAACAGACCAACTGCTGTGGAACTTTACCACTTTATTCACTCTATCAAATCTATCGAATATATCATTTAAACCATCGGGGATTGAAACCGAATACTTTGCATTTTCAAGACTGCAATTCTTTAGAAATTCTAAGACAAATGAAGTAATTAAAGAAATATTTCATACCAGAGCCAGAGAATTTGATGAGGCGATGAGAGCCATTCAAATGCAATTTACACAATTGAATCATTACTCAGATCTATGTTAAAATAACTAATTTTTTAAAGAATCAGTATCGAAATATTGAAGACGAATCAGACGAAGTAAATCACTTCGCTATTTTGTTGATTTTATTTTCTTTGAAAATTCAAAACACATTAAGAGAATATGAATGATTTAAGAGAAAAACTACAAGTTCATAATTGCAGTAAATGCATTTGTTGTCAAGTATCTCCTTTAATAATAATAATAATACATTTTTTTCTTTATGACTTAATTCTTAAATTGGTATGAATGTTATGTAATCTATTTGGTCCTAATTATGATAAGACCCAAGTTGCCAGCTAACCAGTTTTGGACTTATACAAAAAGTTAAGCAGTTCATCGCAAAAAGATGAAACGCAAGCCCCATCTTTTAGAGTATAGTGTTTTGTTCAAAAACATCATTGAAAAAGTGAAAGAATAAGAATAGGCGTTTTAAAGATATGGCATTCGGAAAATTTCTATTGTTTTAATCTCAAAATAAATTATTCTATTAGCATAATTTATTAAAGAGATATTAGAGATTTGGCGATTTGAGATTGGTACATGATTTTTCAATCAAACGTTCATGAAATTGGAGCTTAGATTTTACATTAAGCATATCTTTTTCTTTTTTATTTTTTTGCCAAAGCTGTAGTTGTATTTATATTTGTATTGTCGTATATAGATGGTGCACTTGAGAAAGGAGCCATTCTTATGAAGAATAGAAAAATTAATTATACTAGATTGGTTGATGAAACGATGTAACATGCAACGGTAATTACATATAATAAATAAGAAACAAATAAAACGCGGGTACTCACGGCGATGTCAACAAAATAAATGGAGACTTTTTCCGCCACCTCACATCAAAAAGATTTTGAAACGTGGAATAAAAAAACGCACTTGTATCTCTTGAATCCCCGAATCTGTTAAAGAATTGAACGTACTTAGAAATATATTGCACATAATCCGACTGTTTCTCACGGATATGTTTATAAAATAAGTCTAGGAAGAATAAACAATATTCGCTTATCTATTTTTTGATATAATATAGAGTTCACACTGCAGGAAAACTCGCTAAAATGCATAAAGCTCGTATTGATGAAGAAATCTAAACAAAAAAGCGGTAATTGGCGATAAAAAAGTTAAATTACAAGGCATCATATTAATATAAATCGATAGATTTATCTTTCTTTATCGCTCATTATAGAAACGTAAATATGGCCTCTTAAACCTGTTTTGACCCGGGTCATCCGGGTTATTACAACCCGTTTCGGAATCTAATCTGTGGGTTAATTGACTGATGAATCAATATTTTTTATTCTAGATTGAATTTGACACAACTACCATTTTGCATAGCCACCTCGGGCCTTCCTTATGATCAGACTAGTGCAGGTGTCGATGTTAAAGCTGTTGAATCTTATTTCAGGTCCTCTTGAAATTTGATCGGGAAGACGCGAAGATGATGTTCAACCTCAAATGTTCAACGAAGTCTAGACCTGGAAATTGGGTGGTTAATCAAAAACCTTCATCCTATTTGTTTCTGAACCAAATTTGCTGTTCCCGTCTTTGTTGGACAATGATCTTTTTAACAGTAAATCCGTGATCCTTGATGGCAGTGTTAAATGTCCAAAACTTTTTCCGTACCGTTTAGCTTAAGACTATATCAAACACACATATATAAATTAAATGTAAAACATTGTTATTTTGATTTCAAAGCAGGTTGTTATAAGAAAATTTTGAGTTATTATCATTTTTCTCTTGTCCTGAATGTTTCAACTTTGAACAAAGTGAACAATATTGCATGACGTTCCGCCAAATTGAATCAATAGCATCAAACATCATTGTCATCGTGTTTCAACCAAAGATTTAAGTCCCAACACTTTTTTAATACGCGAGATGTTTGTTGGTATAACTCAGCATCCTCAATCTTGCAAAAACAGCCAACGCCATGAGACGTAAGGCATTCCCATATCATCACCAACCTATTTTACTGAAATGATTCAATGTTCCAAAAGTCTGTTTCCCATCAGACCCAAAAATCTTAAATTTTGTCTCGCCTGATCAATACTACCTTCCAATTTCATATTTTTCTGCGAACGCTAGGTAATGTTCTTTGCTTAGGTTTGGTTTTTTTTCTTTTTACTCCCATTCAATTCTACTTCGAAATATCAATACTCGCTTTTTCTTATAAGTGGTACACCTGTAAGAGAGGTAATGAGATTGACGATTCTTCTTTGATTAGTTCACTCAAGTTTGTTGTATGATACATAAGAAGCTTGTGATACATGTAAATGATTATTAAATTTATTATTTTGTAAAACAACCATATACATGCATAACATCAATTTCGTTTCTGCTCATGCATGCAAGAAACCCCCCTGTTTTGTTTCTGATTAATTATTATCGTTACCTTTGTTTTATTACATCAGGCGCCTTTGTTGGCTGAAACTATTAATGTTGTTCAACCTTTTACGTGTATATACATGTATAGGTAAAACTTGCATTCCCCCCTTTATTTCATTAATCCTTTCATTAATTTTTTTAGTATTGTTTGAAACGTTTCGCTGACTTTCAAAATCCTTTTTTAGTGATTAATCCTGTCACTAATTTTTTGAAACGTATCACAGTAATCTTAATGCATGTACATGTAACCATATTTAACAGCATGTAATCGATATGTGAATTATTTAAATACTACGGTAACTTTCGACAATCAAAATGTTCAAAAAGCTTGAACGTTAAGCCTTTAATCTGTTCAATGTAATCTTTACGATTTAGTAGTGTATACGTATCAAAAGAGGAAAGGCTCGATGACTTCAGAGTGTATGCGTATCAAAAGAGATCACAAATATATGTAGAGAATTTATGGAAAGTACACACAGTAATAACGAATCTCTGGTAATCAAGTTTCTGGAGATTTACACATCCGAATTAGCATAAAAGATTCCGCAGTTTATGATGATTCGTTTATTATTGTTTGGAACACAACTTATGAATCATAAAAAAAAGGACAGTCACGAGAAATTATGAAAAATTGATCATAAGCTATCTAATTTCAAAGGTCCTTGACGCAGCATGAAACAATACAGGAGAGATAATATTCTTAACTATAGAATAATGCATGAATGATTGTCTTCTTATCTATTTTTAAAGTTCTCGACTCAGTTATGCAACAGTGAGACAGTACAAGAGGGATAATATAGAATAATTAGCGATTCTTATAAATGCAAGCAGTTCTCTTTCTAGTATATCTCTTTCCCGCCTAGTCGATATAGTAGATTTATTAACAAATTTCAAAAACTCTCGATAGTTTTTTGTAATTTTTACTATACACGATAAAGAAGGTCATTGTGTAAGTTGCTTTCCATCTTATAAACTATAGTATATTTTTATAAAACGATATTAAATTTTTAATATGTTTTTTGTATATTATATAAAATAATAAAAAAATTTCAAGCACAATATGTCACAAGGTATGCTTTTGTCTTTTTAACGTTTTTTATAAATGCATAAATTTATTATAATTTTAATCTTCATATAGATTTGAACCAAGTCCAAGAGCACCCCTTTGGTGTTGACCATGATAAGATTCCAATGTTCAGCAAAACTGTCCTAGACATGTACGAAAACCTCAGCAACGCATCATCACTAAATGATAAAGAAATCCGTCTTTTAGCCGCTTTGAAGTGCTTTTTAGGTGAGATTTGCGTTCTAGTCTATACAGCGTACTTCTCTATAAGAACACTATATAAGAACAACCTCTCTATAATTTGAATTTAATCTCAAAACTTTTTCAATCAATCCATAATACATGTATTAGGCAAGGAAAACACACCCCAACTAAATAGTGCACAATAGGTATTATTTTTTCTTTTTACTTGATTTTTTATTCAAGTTCTGTTCTTGTTTTTCATATCATGAAGTCTATCACATTTACTTTTTGTTTTCAAATATTTTGTAGAAGAAAAGCACTACCAGTCGGAACTACGTAAACATTTTTTTTTTCACATTCTTTCTTAAGATGCTTAACGTGTAAGAGCTTAAGAATAAATAACATGTAAGCGCATAAGAATAAATAACATGTAAGAGCATAAGAATAAATAACATGTATCAATAAACTTATATTCATAACCTGCAGTTGGTCTTAAACTTGGTTTTAAATATATCTATCTATGAAAAATTTATTGAATGTTAGTTGAATTTTTAGTAAGGAAACCAAAGGTTTTTTTTCAGCGAGAGAAAGTTATCTTTTTTTCTTCGGTGCTGCGTGAAATTACTTTATTTTCCAAAAAACCTTTGTCATACAAATATTCAATTAATCGATACGAGCGGATGCGTGTGTTGATAATTTATGCTGTTTTCCAACCGGATTTTGTCATACAAATATCAATTAATTGTTACATAATAATAAACGAGCGCATGGTTCTTTCCATTGGTAAATGATTTTGTTGATAATTTATGCTGCGTAATTTTCTTCTCGCAAACAGTGGTGCACAAATTGTTTTCACAACATAAAAAATCTCTTTCGAAAATTTCTTTGATTGAATCACAAAATTTGATATAACCACATGTAATTGATACGCTTTCTTTCCATAATCAAAATCTGATCGGTTCGAAATGATAAAATGTTGGTTTGCCCATTATAGCGGGATCTAATTTATTAGAAAAGCATTTCAAATTGGCATAAAATCAGAAGGTGCCAGGAAGATGTTGAGCTTAAATTTCGAAGAAATGGAATTAGATCAAAAATAATTTAGGCCGTATATTATTACGCTAATCTCCTAGAACAGTCTCTTAGCGTTGCCTTTTTATAAGAATTTCACTGTGTCTTATTAGTTGTCTAAATTGGAAAATAAACAGTTCCGAAAAACTTTCTAGATTTGGGGTACAGGAAAACGCATGTACGGTTTTAAATTATATCAGAATGTTAAAAAGAACAAATGGTTGAATGCTTTATTATTGTTGAAAATGGATGTGGCTACTATGACCCATGAAATACGGTATTATGTTTATCATTATTATTGCCGCGAAACACGTTGCTTGTCACATTGCTCGGTGCTTTGCTTGTTTATAGTAAATTATCAATTGTATTTGTTGCGTTAATGAGTCCAAAGAACACGAAAAGCCCACAATCATTTATAATGCAATTTATAATGCAATTTATCAAATTACGCACACAATATTTGCTTTTGCTTTTTTTGTTATAGTTCTCTTCTTTTTTTAGAATCCGCGACAAGCAATGGAACGCAGCCAACGCAACGCAGCACTAATTCCAGCAACGCAGTCAGTAAACGCAATGCAATGTCAGAACATTATGCTTCTAAAGCTGCTTCAAGCCAAACTGATTGAGCTGACAGCAGTATGAAGAACTTTACATAACAATTGCTTTTCAAAATGACGAGCTTTTCATTCCTGCTTTTAGATGCTAGGGATTTCAGAAAGAGTACTCATCTGCCTGGCAATGAGAGGTATAATAGAATAGATAATGCTATAACATGCTAAATTCGCTTTTTAAAAGATAAAGAAAAGTGATTAAAATACAGTCATGCCTCCTCATGATCTCACTTTCGGGAACCAGCAAAAATTGCGATTATAAAGATGTGAGTATGTGAAAGTCAAATTTCCTAGATTTTATTAATACAGTCAGACCTCCTAAATACAACCAACTTTTTGACACAATATATTTAGAGAAAAATAAGAAAAATTACACATATGGTGTTTAAGTATATATTTTGACCAGAGTTTGAGCTTGCATTTAGAGAGATGTTTGCATTCAGGGCGGTTGCATTTAGGATCTGATGTAGTTGGGGATCGGGAAAACCTGTGATTGTATGGAGAAATTGACTATACATGTATTGGTGTGGTTATGTGGAGGTATGGTTGTAATAATAATAATAATAATAATAAGAATAATACCAATCATAAAATGGTGAACATTATACAGAGCCCTAGCAGAATATCGTAACTTTAAATATTAAACTAAATACAGCAAAATATTTGCTTTCCGACAAAAACGAATAAAAAGTTTATACAATAGCCTTGAGAAAATTGAGCTTAAAAAATTTATCGATACGAAAATTAGTAGAGTATTATAACGCATGATGAAATAAAAAAAATATACGATACCTCGATACCTAATACATGTAATCGGAATTGCATAAAAACTCACTTTTTGATTCGCCATAACTGCACGGTGGTATTTTATGCAATTCCGATTATTGGATACTGAGATATTACACCTAAAGTTCAAATTGATATTGATTTAACGTTATTTTTACGTGCGAGATCTTATTACGTGATGTACATGTACTTCCATTCAATTTGTCTAATCATAACGAATCAAAATGGTAGTATTCTCGCATGAATATCACCACGCGAGGAGATAGATACATATACACCAACCTGCCAAAAGTATCCGGACAAGATGGCAACCGGAGAAATTATCAAAGTTCAAACACTGATTGTAGCATCCCAATTTTAATTATTTGCGAAATTTAATTAAAGACGTTTTGCATATAGAAAGTTTTGCAACCAACCATCTAAATTATTTTATTAGATTCACCTTGATTACTACATTCATGAAATGTATATTTTGTGCTTGCAAAAGAATCATTTTCGAGTAATGCCTAAAGATCAGAAATTACAGATTTGCATATGGAAATGCATGGTAATGTAATAAAAACATAAAAATCAAGATTGAACACCACATTCTAATAGATCTAAATATTAAATAACTATGTAATAAATATACATGAACAAATTGATCTAGTAAACACAAAATTGATCAATTTCATTCAAATAAGAATTACAGAATTTCTAATGGATCAATTTTTATAAAAAAGATATATTCTAAAAGCTTAGAATTTGATGTTCTTAATCCCTGATTGTATCATAAATCATATCTAATTACTTCATATCAATTTTTACTGAAATGATTATTATTTAATAATTTCAAAATACAAATATATGAACAAACTGATTTATAACTCATTAAAGAAATTAGAAAATATAAATATTTTATTAATATAACAGGTTTTGCTGACTTTAATCATATAAATTTTATTTATTATTACTATGTAAATTCTTTTAAAAATATCAGTTAAAATTAGTAAACACAAAAGTAAACAATTTTATTCAAATATGAATTACAAAATTTCTAGTGAACTAATTTTTATGAAAATGATATTTTCTGAAAGCTTAAAATTTCAGAGTTCTAATAAAAAATAATTATCATTGATTATGCCATAAATCATATTTAAAATATTGCTAATCATTTTATAACGATAAATTATCTTGTCCAAAATATTTTTGTAAAAGTCACGCTACACAAAATCGATCACAAGCATATGACAGTACCCAAAGGCTATTTATATCATTTTAAAGCTCATGAGTTATATTTATATGAAAAATTTTTTCCCATGCTTTACATATAAAAAATTGAAATTTTCAAGTTATATACTATACATATTTCTTTTAGTAATTGTTTCTAACTTTTATAACATTTTAAAGTTAATCAATCGTAGTTTTCAATAGCTGTGGGCAACTTAAGATGTAAGAAGTGTTTTAATTATAAATCATGAAAAAAATTTTATATATATTTTACTATATAATTTCAAATCGGGTGATACTTTCTGTGGGTACTGTACATGTACTGTACATATAGATCGAAATTTTGGCATGTACGTGCAATATCTAGTGAGTGTAATTTCGATCACTGGATATACCGTTACTTCATAATAATCTGAAAAAATTTTAGACTCTAATTTCTCAAAACTAGTACATAAAATTATTTTTGAAAGTTAAACTTTCAAGAATTTAAAATTTTTATTTTCATTTTAATGTTTTGGTATTTAAAATTTAAATAAAAAATAGTTATTAATTTTTGTTAAGAATTTTAATACATAATTAGCAATAAAATACTAATAAATAAAAGTTAATAGATAATATCTGAGTATTATTTACGTTCTCATAATATATTACTTATAAGAGATATTATAGATGAAGACAGTGACGTACAGTACTCAAATGTATTTGTGAACTCTAGTTTCAATTTTTAAATAATAGAAATTAAGAATATTGAATAAAAGATTCGAGTGCTTGGCATCTCTTCTTCTCAATGACCACTAATATATTAAAAAAAATAAGTACCTTATATTTTTTAGGAATATGTCAAACAAATGATTTCTGATTCGATAAATAGCTACCTTTCATTCTATTTAAATATTAATATTAATTTAAGGCTAGGATTTAGGATATGATTAAGATTGGAATTAAATGATAAAGCTGCTAAATGGAAAGCCATACATTAGCGCTGCAGTTATTTATATTTGGGAATGGTTGTGTAAGAAAGAACGACCATTCTGTGAACAAAATCATGATGTATATCTCTTTATAAAGGCACTGAAGATTCAAAATTCGTGTATTTGATTTCAATTCTGATTGTTTACAATGATTCAAAGATATATTTAATAATTCGATGGAATAAATAAATTGGTAAAGTTCCTCTGTTTCTGGAATAGGATCTCAACATTTTTCATTAAAAAATTTGCACATCCGGGAATATTATTTTGGTATCGTAGGTCACATTAAATATTCTAAAACAGATGAACTTAAAGTACATGTACATGTACAGTGGCTCATGGAAGAAATGGAACACGGGAAAAAAATTGGCGAGATATGAATATCTCGCCATTGAAGAATTGTACGGAGTCAAAGGTAGGTGCATTTTATTCGTTAAAATGCTGCACATCAATCAATGCAAATTTTATTTTCATCCATCATTTCTATTTTACACAATAATTTTTTTAGTGTTCCGTGTAATACAACCGAATTGGAAGAAGAAATTCAGGCTCATAAAGATAAGTATAAAAGTATCTTTTTTTATTTGGTAGTAGATAGAAAACTAAACGACATTTCTAACAATAGCCAAAATAAAATTTTAATTCCCAATGCCTCGAATTTCCCACGAAAAACGTGTCCGCATTTATGCTCTTCGACAAGAAGGGTATTCATTTCGAGAAATCGCCACGTCGGAGCAGGTGGGCGTGGCTTCAGTCCACCGAATATGCAAGAAGAAAGACGAAACTGGAAGCTTCGATGATGACCCAAGACCTGG